TTTTTTTTGAGACAGAGTCTTGCTCTGTCACCCAGGCTGGAGTGCAGTGCACAATCTTGGCTCACTGCAACCTGCACTTCCTGGGTTCAAGAGATTCTCCTGCCTCAACCTCCCAAGTAGCTGGGATTACAGGCATGCACCGCCACACCCAGCTAATTTTTGCATTTTTAGTACAGACGGGGTTTCAACGTGCTGGCCAGGTTGGTCTTAAACTCCTGACTTCAAGTGATCGGCCCACCTTGGCTTCCCAAAGGGCTAGGATTAAAGGCATGAGCCACTGTACCCAGCTGAAATGAGGTACTGATACATGCTACAGCATGGCTGAATAAAAGGAGCCAGACACAACAAGCCACAAACTATAGGATCTTGTGTGTGTGTGTGTGTGTGTGTGTGTGTGTGTGTGTGTGAAATGGCCAGAATAGGAAAATCTACAGTGACAGAAAATAGACTAGTGTTTTTTTCCAGGGCTGTGGGTTGAGAAGGAGGAGTGACTTCTATTGGTTATGGGGTTTCTTTTTGAGGTGAGGAAAATGTTCTAAAATTTATTGTAGTGATGACTACACAACTCTATTTGTATAAAGAAACGCATTGAATTGTACACTGTAAATGGATATGTATTTATTTCATGGTATTTGAGATATATCTGAATAAAGATGTTATAAAGATAGGACAGAGCCTGATCTCTGAGAAAGAACACAGTTCTCCACCCCCTCCCCACAGTGCTTCAGGTTGATAAGGGGTGACTAGGCCAGGAAAATATGATATTTGTATGATGTGCAAGCAGAAAAATGAGAGAAATGCTTCCCTTTTCATATGGATTCTCGGTGGGGTGCTCCTGAAACAGTGTCTAGCAACAACGCAAGAGGATCACAGAAGAAGTGTGATAGTGTCTGTAAGCAGGGAGAAATGTGGAGAGAAACCCACCGAGGTTCCCACATCCTGACATACAAATGCATATACAGGAGGAGAGTTAAAAATCCCAAACAGCAGAGAGACTAAAATGACATTAGACCAATGAAGGTGCCACAAACACACCAAGCAGAATGGATTATCTTCAGTAACGGTAATGGGGAAACTGGATATCCATACGCAGAAGAATGAAACTGGGCCCCTTTCTTTCACCCCATACAAAAATTAACTCGAAATGGATTGAATACTTAAATAGAATACCCAAAACCACAAAACCGCTAGAAGAAAAGAATGGTTCAAGATTTTAAACTAGGCAAATATTTTTATTGCTAAGACTTCAAAAGCACAGGGAACAAAACCTAAAATAAACAAATGGTGCTATATTAAACCAAAACCTGCACAGTCAAGAAAACAATCAACAGACAGAAGAGACACCTGTAGAATGGGAGAAAATATTTGCAAAC